AAATAAATAAATAAATAAATAAATAAATAAATAAATAAATAAATAAATCAATCAATAAATCAATAAATAAATAAATAAATAAAATAAACTGCAACAACTCCTATTATGTGCCTTGCCTATTATCAGGTCTACCATTATTTCTCTACAACTATATACCCCGTCGCATTTAATTAGATAAGCGGCTCTTGAGATACAATATCAGTAATTTGAGTTTAAAGCCACATATACATTCATCTCAAATCTATCCAGACATCCTAAAAACGGTTTAGCGGTTATAGAGAAGAAGTTAATCACATATATCCAGACATCCTGAAAATGGTTTAGCGGTTATAGAGAAGAAGTTAATCACATCTATCCAGACATCCTGAAAACGGTTTAGTGGTTATTGAGACGAAGTTAACCACATCTATCCAGACATCCTAAAAACAGTTTAGCGGTTATAGAGAAGAAGTTAATCACATCTATCCAGACGTCCTGAAAACGGTTTAGTGGTTATTGAGAAGAAGTTAATCACATCTATCCAGACATCCTGAAAACGGTTTAGCGGTTATAGAGAAGAAGTTAATCACATCTATCCAGACATCCTGAAAACGGTTTAGTGGTTATTGAGACGAAGTTAACCACATCTATCCAGACATCCTAAAAACAGTTTAGCGGTTATAGAGAAGAAGTTAATCACATCTATCCAGACATCCTGAAAACGGTTTAGTGGTTATTGAGACGAAGTTAACCACATCTATCCAGACATCCTAAAAACAGTTTAGTGGTTATTGAGACGAAGTTACCCACATCTATTCAGACATCCTAAGAACAGTTTAGCGGTTATTGAGAAGAGGTTTCCCAAATCTAGCCAGACATCCTAAAAACATTATAGCGAATATCGTGGAGAAGTCACCCACATCTATCAAAACATCCTAAAAACAGTTTAGTGGTTATTGAGAAGAAGTTAACCACATCTATCCAGACATCCTAAAAACAGTTTAGCGGTTATTGAGAAGAAGTTAACCACATCTATCCAGACATCCTGCAAACGGTTTAGCTGTTATTGAGAAGAAGTTTCCCAAATTCAAGCCAGACATCCTAAAAACATTTAGCGAATATTGAGAAGAAGTCACCCACATCTATTAAGACATCCTAAAAACGGTTTAGCAGTTATTGAGAAGAAGTTTCCCACATCTATTCAGACATCCTAAAAACAGTTTAGCGGTTATTGAGAAGAAGTTAATCAAATCTATCCAGACATCCTAAAAACATTTTAGCGAATATCGTGGAGAAGTCACCCACATCTATCAAGACATCCTAAAAACAGTTTAGAGGTTATTGAGAAGAAGTTAATCAAATCTATCCAGACATCCTAAAAACATTTTAGCGAATATCGTGGAGAAGTCACCCACATCTATCAAGACATCCTAAAAACAGTTTAGTGGTTATTGAGAAGAAGTTAACCACATCTATCCAGACATCCTAAAAACAGTTTAGCGGTTATTGAGAAGAAGTTAACCACATCTATCCAGACATCCTGCAAACAGTTTAGCTGTTATTGAGAAGAAGTTTCCAAAATCAAGCCAGACATCCTAAAAACATTTAGCAAATATTGAGAAGAAGTCACCCACATCTATTAAGACATCCTAAAAATGGTTTAGCAGTTATTGAGAAGAAGTTTCCCACATCTATTCAGACATCCTAAAAACAGTTTAGCGGTTATTGTGAAAAAAGTCACCCACATCTATTCAGACATTCTAAAAACGGTTTAGCGGTTATTGAGAAGAAGTTTCCCACATCTATTCAGACATCCTAAGAACAGTTTAGCAGTTATTGAGAAGAAGTTTCCCACATCTATCCAGACATCCTAAAAACAGTTTAGCGGTTATTGAGAAGAAGTTTCTCACATCTATTCAGACATCATAAAAACAGTTTAGTGGTTATTGAGAAGAAGTTTCCCACATCTAACTAAATGGTTGTCAATGCGACTAAAATTATTTCCCAATCTTTGAAGGCATTTATCTCACCTGTGGAACAGTGTTCTGGAAAATAACATCACCAATGCGACGATAATCTATGGACAGGTCTCCTTATACCATATCTT